TCTTAAACAATTGCTCAATTTTCTCTCGCTTTACATGGAAATTTCATCGCACGGTCAGTTCTCTCCTCCGCCCCTTTCTTTTGGGTCTGGGGTGTGTTCAGGGCAGGTGGTCCATGAGTCGGTGGTCGCCATCTCCCCCTGCCAGAATTCCCTTTTCCCCACGTCACTGCTGCGCAGATGACATGGTTTATCATCTGTTGTTGCTGCTCTGAGGCTTTTTGCTAGATATCCAACTTGAGGGCATCCATGGGACTCTCCCTACTTGTTTTGCCATCGAAAATCCACACAGAAACTCTCGAACACAACATGTAGTGTTAGAAAACAGGCTTCACTTTATTGCAGCACTGAGTGCGTGGGGGAAATTTTAACCCCTTCATTGTTGAATAACACATCTACAGAGAAGCACAGAGAGATCATGGTGGGTGAGGGAGCCCAAGTAATACCCTGCCATGGTGCTTCCAAGCCTATCGAAGGAGCACGTCACAGACCCATCTCTACAGCCTAGAGGTGCTCAGGGGCACAGTGACATGTGAGAACCCAAATTCCATCTCTCGGAGAGGTGGAACACACTGTCCTGGGCTCCTCCCGGGGTTGTCCCAGGACAAACACCTGCCCTATGGTCTAGGGATAAAACCCATAAAGTCAGCAGGAGCAGGACTGTTGTGGGAAGCAGGAGCGGGGCAGGGAGGGTACTGCAAAGGGGCCTGGGATGCAGGGGAAGATCATTTTGAGTGTACAATAGCTTTATGGGGTGTTTATGGGAGGAACCAAAGACAGGGAAAGGGATTAATTTAGGTGATTTTGAGGGGAATAAGCATGCGAAAGTAGAGGTATAAGGGATTCCGTGTGACAAGCAAGAATATCCAAAAGATGAAACAGAAATCGGATGATTTTCTTGCAGTTCAGTCTCCATTCTTAATAATTTTCCAGAAAGCTCCCCCGTGTATCTGCGAGGAGAAGCATAAATTTGAGATCTTTAAACAGTTTCTAATAAGAAAATATCATAAGTTGAAAAATTAACTCAGTAGAAAAAAAAATTTACAATGAAAATATTAAGAAATAAAAAGCAAAAACTGTCCAGGCAGTCTTAGCAACAAGAAATTATAAGGGAAATTAGAAAGATTTTCTTGACAGTCATGTATTTCTTCTAAGCATGTAATTGCTTCTCTGCAAATAAGCCAAACTTAGGAAAACAAATCCTAAATACACGTTGTTCTGGCTCTGCTAGTACCCGATTAGCATTTTATGAACAAAGATATGTTTCCAAAAGTGGTCAGTGCAGCTCAGCAGCCTCCATCAGTGTCACAGCTCTTCAATGTCATCATAGGCGGTGTCTTCAAGAGCAGGGGACGAATCTCTCTCAGCCTCAGAGGTTCTGGTTCCCAAGGCATTAGGACTCCAGTCTGAAAACATGAAGGAAAGAGCACTGAGATAAATGCATATCCTGCATGTTTTACCTTTACATGGTTGTGCAGCTGTCAGCAGGGGCTGTTCATCATCATCTTCTTCGGCAATTAGAACCATAGATATGGGTGGCTGGGAAAGACCTGAGACATGGAGCTGGTGGAGTGAGTCCAGAGGAGGCCACGAAGATGATCTGAGGGCTGGAACACCTCTGCTCTGGAGACAAGCTGAGAGAGTTGGGGCTGTTCAGCCTGGAGAAGAGAAGGCTCCAGGGAGACCTTCCAGCACCTTCCAGTACCTAAAGGGGCTACAGTAAAGCTGGAGAGGGGCTTTGGACAAGGGTGTGTAGTGACAGGACACGGGGCAATGGCTTTAAAATGGAAGAGGGAAGATTTCGATTGGATATAAGGAAGAAATTCTTCCCTCTGAGGGTGGTGAGGCACTGGAACAGGTTGCCCAGAGAAGTTGTGGCTGCCCCATCCCTGGAAGTGTTCCAGGCCAGGTTGGATGAGGCTTTGGGCAACCTGGTGTAGTGGAGGGTGTCCCTGCCCATGGCAGGGGGGTTGGAACTGGATGATCTTTGAGGTCCCTTCCAACCAAACCATTCTATGATTCTATGATTTTATGATTCTGAAAACTAACAGCACTGCTCTTCTGACCTCACCTGTCTGGGAATCCTGGTTTCTGTCACTTTCTTCAGTGATGATTTTCTGTTCATTCTGCTCAGAAAATGAAGCATCTTTAGGTCCAGGAGCTTCTGTCACATCATCATAACCATCCTCCAGGGTATTTCCAGGCAGTGAAGAGACCTCTGGAACTGTACAGATATTAACTATAATAGGGAGAGGCCTTCTGCTAGAGAGAGCAGTAGCTGACGATCCAGCGAGAAGGCCCTGTAATACTGACATTATCATGATGACAATGAATAATAAGAAACCAAGAATCCTCCTGAGGACTCTAAGGTATTCCAGACAACCACGATATAGCTCCAATAGTTGTTATTGCTGTAGCAAGTAGAAAGCAGAAATGTGCATGGAGGAGGGACAGGAGGGGGAAGAAGATCTGGATAAGGAGGCAGTTAGTGACAGGGTTTATTTCAGAGTAAGCTTCCCCATTGCATTTCGTAATTGCACAATGACAAATTACTCCTTGTTTATCTCTGTGTAGCACTTACTTCCTTGTCTTTTCATTACTTTAACCACCTTCTGTTAAATTTCTCTGAAATAGTCTAGCTAAGTAGACACCCTTGGCCATTTGCTTATGGACTTGTGGCTACAAACTTAGGCCAAACCTTTGGAGAAAAATATCTGCAGTTCTGCTCCTCTTCTCCCAGCTAAACAACCCCAGCTCTCTCAGCCTTCCTTCATAGCAGAGCTGTTCCACCCTCTGATCATTTTTGTGACCCTCCTCTGGACCCGCTCTAAAAGGCCAGTGTCACTTTTCTACTGGGGACCCCAGAGGTGGACGCAGCTCCAGGTGGGGTCTCATGAGAGTGGAGCAGAGGGGCAGAATCACGTCCCTTGACTTGCTGACCATGCTGCTTTTTATGCCAGGATACAACTGGCTTTCTGGGCTGCGAGTGCACACTGCTGGCTCATGTCTAATTTGTCACCCACCAGTATTCCCAAGTCCTCCATAGGGCTGCTCTCAATCCATCCATCCCTCAGTCTGTACTGATACTGGTCATTGCCTTGAGCCAGGTGCAGGGCCTTGCACTTGGCCATGTTGAACTTCATGATGTGAGGTTCATATTGGCCCATTTCTCAAAAATCTCGAGATCCCACTGGATGGCACAGACTCCCTTACCGTACCAACTGTGCCACTGGGCTTGGTGTCATCTGCAGACTTGCTGAGGGTGCACTCAATCCCACCATCTATGTCATTAATAAGTATATTGAACAGTACTGGTCCCAGTATGGACCCCCACTTGTTACTGATCTCCATTTGGACATTGAGCTGGTGACTGCAACTCTTTGGATGCAGCCATCCAGCGAATTTCTTATTCATTGAATAGTCCATCCATCAAACTCAGTGCTGTGAGTAGCCAGCTTTCTGATTCTTCAGGGGCAGCTAGCTGTATGGTCTGTTCTTAGCTGGAATCCATCCCTCAGAGAATATTAGTTTCCACTTTTCGATGGTATATACATACACAGATGGACAAACAAATAATACATATGTAAAATTAAAAGTCAATCAAAACACTCCCATTTTACTTTTTACCTAGCACTCAATATTCAGTCTGAATAAGAGAGAGAGATCTTGTTTGGAATAGTTATCTTCTTGATATGCATTTCAAAGCAAGTAAGGAAAAGAAAAGCTTTTATTTTAATTTTAAATAATAAAAAGCCTTAATATGAGAAAAACAATAGAAAATAAATGCATAGCACAGCAGAGGGTCTGGCATATGGGCAGCTGAAATCCAAAACTGCTTGTGCCTTTGGCAGTTGATCTCTTGGATACCGGGCAATAGCTACAAGAGGTTTTTGATCAGCTCTAGGAAAATGCAGTTCTTCTCCAAACCCTTATTTTCCCTCAGCTTTTTCAAATTAAAACCCCCTCACCTCTGGCAAACTCCATCTTCTTCAGATCACTCAGATTGAAATTCTCTAATCAACTCCAATCGTATGCCAATGGTCTTATTTGGAGCATGTTTTTCCTCTGTCTTAATTCTCCCCATTTATATCAGAAATGAAGCAACAGCTTGCAAGCTTTCACATTTGCACTTGTGTGTGAGATTGTGTGACATTCTTCCACCACAAGACTTAAACAGAAATTGTTTGGTTCACTGTCTAACATCACTAGTTGACACGAAGTGCGGGAAGAAAAAAGTTTTAATCACCAATAATGCCTTGGAAATTAAAAGCTACCCTGATTTTGAGTCTCTTTCTTTGTAGGATCCCCATCTTCCGTTACCTTGAGTTGCTCCAGGACCGTTTTCTTCATCACTGTCCCTGCTATAAAACTGTGCCTTTG